GACATTTAGGGCTAGAGTGCCATGTAAATTTTGAGCATAGCTGATGAGGACTATTTAATACAGGAGACGTTCCAGTAAGGAATTGTTCGACTGACGTATCAAAATCCTTTGTTGGAACATGTTCTATATTCACAAAAAGGTTTCTAGGCATACAACAAACTCGAAACCGTCCGATCCAAACGACCTGCGTCATTGAAAGTCGATTCTTATTGCCCCTGCGTTGTCAAGCAAAAAAAAAGTCGAGGCCAAAAAGCAACCGATTTTCGCCCATAGTTATGTCAAAAGTTCATTGTTTATGTTGATGTTTTGATAATTCTTGTAAACGACTTGTAAGCATTTTCTGTTTCAAAGGCGAATAAATATTATTAAAAACATAGTTATGCTAATTACTCTTTCGCCATGAGCAATAGTTGAAATCAATTTGATGGTATTTGTAAATTAATGGTGATAGCTACGGGAGTGAGCAAAATGAGTACTGTGGTTCAAGTGATATTAGCATACTTCTCATTTAGTTTTAACTCGTACAATATTTATTCACTCACTGTTTACTATAGCCAGAACGCTGCACTGTCTTCACTTTCAGGTTAGTTCTTCTGCCGTTTTCTCGCAACCAACAACGTGATTTTTTATTTGGAATTTCGAGAAACTTAACATGAATCGTTATGGCATTCATGCGCACAACATTTCGCCATGTTTCAACTTTTAAGTAGTCAGTTAACAAGTTCTTTCATAGTAGCATTTCTATGGGATTGGCGAACTAGCATGAATGGCTTCAATTATCATTGTTCACTGATGACGTCATTTGACTGGCCCTCTAGAGGCGAAATGACACCAGGAAAAGCGGAAGTTTGTCGTCTGCTTCACAGCCCGTTTTATACCTGATATTTAGAGCATTTCGCAGCACATACAAGTTGTTTTTATCGACAGAATTCATTCATAGATCTCAAATTTCATGTACAGAGTGTCAAAAGCCACACCTCTGCTCCCCTTTAAATTGCGTTTTTTGGAGTCGTCACTGCCGTCCGTGGAATCTTACCGATATCGATTTGGTCGTAATTCCCGTAGCACTTGAAAAACACAACACTTTCTCAAATCGTAGTAAAATGGTAGTAGTGGAATTGGACTTAACCATTGTTTACCCTTTTGAGAGTATCATGATAAGTGAGATGTTTATGTTATAAAAAAAGTGAAGACCTCAAACGTACTTTTACGCAAAGTTATTAGTTCCATGTGCTGCAATTTAACATGAAGTTAGAGTGCATAAACCTAAGCGGCTATCCCCCAGCAAATGATTTAGGCCAGGCACTTCCGTGTCAAAATCGCGAAACTATCAGTTTTTACGCAATTTGAGAAAACAGAATGACTAAACGAAGTACAGGAAGCCGAAGCTGAATATCCAAGAACAAACACATACCAAAAATTATATCTCAAAAGCCAATATTCGTGGTATATTGTAAGCCTAACTGAAAAAGTGTTACTACTCTAAATATCCAAACATATTTTTCTGTAGGTAGTAAAACATATTGTCATGGTTCTATCCGCCCTCAATCGTCACTACCCACCCATAGTGACACATACATACTTTA